CGATGTGTGATTCTTAACCCTCAAATTAACATCCTGCAGCATTAACTCTACCGCTGAAGAAATTGAAAAGTTGTTTTATTCGATTAATGGGTTAGTAGAACGATGGACAAAGCCGACCATAAAGGATGAGAATGGCAAAATTATTTGTTTAAAGGCATTCTTCACAGCTGTGCTAGAAAAAAAAAACAGATAGACAAAAAACAAAAAAACAGAAATATGGTATGGTGTAAATGTCGATTAAGATTACCATTCATCAATATGTTCGCTCTCGCTTGTTGTAGGGAAGTAGCCAAAATTAAGAGGAAGGGGGTTCCCGTAAACCTCTTTGTGAAGTTATTATTGTTATTACTATTTATAGTATTATTGTTTTGAGGTCTGCTAAATTCGCATTTTATAAATCACATTTTATAAATCAACCCTTCTCCAGTGCCAGATAATCCATTTGGCGATCCTTCTCACGAGACAAATATCAGCCCACTGATACACAACATAGCTACTTCACGTAAAGCTCACAGAAATTCATACCTGGGATACCCACCTTTAAAAGACCCTCGCTTCGTCCTCGTAGTGCCCCACCTTCACCCCCCTTCCCGTCCCCCTTTTCCCCTCCCCCACGGGAAACTTCCCATCATACATTTCAATTTTTCTTGATTCTCAACTTATTTCAATTCGCTTTCTTTTCCTTTTTTTTTTTCTGACTTTTACGTATATTAGTGCCATATATCCTGGAGGCCATAAGTTATTACACCACACAAACTACACAAGAGTAGGGAAACAGATCTTAGAGCTGTCAATTAAGGTAAAATTTGAAAATCAGATGAATTAATTTCCACAAGTACTTTCAATAAGGTATCTCACCTGGAGGTATGTCACTTGTGGGCCAGTTTTCTTACCCTAATTGTCGTTCCTAGACCTCACCCAGCGAGAGTGAAAAGTTATTCATCATATTCTTCAAGTGATAGTTTTTGGAAGGAAGAAATATTCAAGACTTCTAGACATCACCCCATATTCAAGACTTTGTATTGTATTG